TTCGGATCTGTCTAGAGTGACGACGTTGTTGGATGAGGGGGAGCAGTTGATGATTGAGGCTTGATTTGAGGGGCGATAATAGAATTTTGTGGTTGTATGACACCGTTTGTTCATCCTGTATCTAATAGATCTTACATTGCGTTCAATTCTAGATCGTTGGTCTACTCTATTTCTTTTAATTGTATGTTTACTGCTACCACTGCTGCCACTGTGCAAAGTGCATTAGAGTAGCGGGCACCCCCCAGGAAGACCACAGACAAGAACGGTTTATATTGTAGCTTGATGTTTTAGCGTAAGCCCATGCTAGAAACACATATTACTCCCAGCAGGCAAACTGTCAATGCACAAACATCTTCCACACTACTCTACCAAACTCGTAAGTCTAGCTTCAGATAAACAATGCCCTATCTATGAACCCCTGTACTCCAGCGAATACTTCTCAAATGTCCGCCTTTCAGCAGAAACCCGGAGAGCTAGCCCTTGCACCGATGCCTCCTCGTGCATCTTATGCTGAACATCCCTTGGCGGGCGATTCTCCCCAGCCCGGCGAATTTCTCTAGGCGCAGTGCCGCATGGTTGAACCTATATAAAATCCTGTGGTTCCTCACCCTTCTTCTCCTTCCAGGTCATCATTATCAGAGTCAAAGACTTCAGGGGCTTCTGCAGTCGACGAGGTTCTGCCGCTTTTAGCGGTCAGAGGAGCGGTCAGACTAGACAGAATTCGTCCATTTCGGAGTAAGGCTTGGTCGCGGAGTATTCCAACCATTAACCTCATCTTAGGTGAGCCCTCAAGCATTACTAGATAGTTGTTGGGCATCCTGCTCGAGACTATTCTGAGGCGGCTTCATGAACTTTCGGTAAAACAATTTCACTTCGTATTCTTGAACAACAACTTCTTTTTCCCGGAGCTTTCTAAGAAATGCTGGGGTGAGAAGGCCTCTCTTAGTGGCGGCAACACTTTATCCCATGTCCTTCACGGTGACCAAGGCTTCTAGCATGATCAAAGTTGCTTTACTTCTTTATTTTTTATTGTTTCAAATATGATAGATATTAGCTGGCTTTTCTGCTGCTGTGTCTGATCTGATTATAATAGTTTTGTAGATTACTGTTTGTTCTTTTATGATATTTTCATAATTTATCAACAGTTTCTTGTCAAGCGGGTGATTCCATTACCAAGGATATAATATCCACAGATAATGGGGTACTAACAGACGCCATTTTCTTATAACCATACGGTCAGACCCTGAGGCTCACGGTTGGGTCGTATCTCCCCTTTTCTATGATTATTGCTCGTCCATCCCGGGCCTCGTGAAGCAATAGTGTCGATGAAACCAATGTCCTGGAAGGTAATATGGCGTAGGGTTCTTTAAGGATGAATTGCAGCGTTCCAGCGTTGCTGCCGAATCGGGTAATTAGTTCCTCTTCTCTTTTCTTCTACCCTTCTACATATAAGTAGGAAGCAGTGGTAGCATGTCCTGGTTTAACTGTTCCTGTAGCATCCGCTCTCGGTTCTGCATCTGCTCCTGGTGGGCAGTGTAGTTTGGATCTGATCTTGGTCCAGGGTTTGTCTGAGATCCAGCACTTCCTGCCGTAGTCTTGCCATTTTAGCGGCCTGTTCTTCGGCCTGCCGGCGGCGGACACGCTGTCGTTCGCGCTCTTTCTCTTTGACATTCATATCGTTGCTTTCATATACGTCTGAAATATCACATTCATTCAGTACTCGACAGGAAGGTCCGCGTCTGAAGTTTGCCACGATCTCTGGCAATTCCTCCACGATGCGTTTGAAACGAGTAGAATCAGTTGAGCCAATATTGGTTGTAGCGTGTATCTCCTGATACCGATTTTTATTCAGAGTATAATGTAATTAGGAAGCATCTCTTAGCATGATACAATCAACAAAAAATTGAACTACCTTCTTCTTTACCTCCGTTTTCTGCTCCCTGCACGGACCGTGCGGGCGCATCTAACATCTAACAAGGGATCAAAGATAGATAGAAATCAAAAGAAAAGGTCTTTTCATTGTTTTGTGTCTTTTGTGTGTTGCTAAGACTACATAAAACATGAAGAAAACAGATGATAATGTCATTCTGTGTAGAAGGAATAAGGAAGGCGCGGCGCGCCCGCTGCATTTTCTTCCTCATTTGCATAGAAATAGAACTGTTTGCTCCAGCACGGAGCATGAATCCTGGTCATGCCAGCATTGGGTGAGATCTATGGTGGAATTTTAGTACTTTGTATGGTCCTTTGGGAATGAATAGGTCTGATGTGTTGCGGCAAAATCTGAATGAGTGAGTGTAAGTTATTTGGTTGTTGTATAGATCCATGAATAGTAGAAGGCCGATGCTACCATGAATTCCGCAAGATTGGATCAAATATGCATCTCCGAGAAGTTAAATCAATAAAATCGCGATAAATTTCCAAGCGAAGCTCTTCAATCCCCCTGCAGATATAATGTTCCATATTCCGTTTCGCCGCATGCAGGCAAATCCAGCATGCGGAATATAATGGTACAACCTGGACAGGCTCCTGCATGTACCTCAACCACCCTGGGTCGTATTCAGAGACCGAGAAGTATATATATTTATAATTCTCTCTTTCTCCCAGTTGGCCTATCTGATATAATTCAGCGATGGGCGACCCCCGCACATGGGGAATGCTTTACCCATGCTACCATCTCGGCCACTTCTTGTATAGTGATATTCAGATAGTGTGATTTTCCTTCAGGACGATGTCTGTATATCCTCCATGGATTCTTCGTACTCCTTAGATTGATGAGTATGTTATAGGGCAGTAACAATTATTTCTGCCCGATATGTGTTCTGAGAATTTCTAAGACATATACTATCATAATATAATATATCCCAAAGAATGTCGCCCTGCATCTGCTCCGTGCTGGAGCCAACGGATCTAAATCTAAGCAACTGTATAGAAGAAAGACGTAATGCAAGGCAGATGATCAAATTGTAACTATCTATGAGTTTTTTTCGTAGAAGATGGAATTGCAACGCAAGTAAAGACCGTTTTATAATAGGAAGGGGCGCCCTGCCCGCTGCAGCATCTATGGTGAAGACTTTTATCTCTTTCCGGAGTTTTGTAGATGTATCCATCTACCCTGAGCCAGGAAGGGGTTTAGTGTAGCAAATTTGTCAATATGGTGCTTATAGTAGGCAGCGTGCTAGATCAATTCCTTAGCTAATATGGATAGGCTTCTGCATATAGGTTCTGTGATCTGCGATGTTATTCAGTCGAATGTCGGGATATTTACTGCATTCCGGAAACAGCCTCGATGGCACTCACGAAGTTATCCAAGGCGGAAATCCAGATGAGACCAGTGCAATGAGCTATTCTCCAAAGATAGCGAGCACCAAGCTCATCTTCTGGGATATCTCTAGCATCCCTGCTAGGTCTTTGGCTTCTGGCTGTAGTATAGGGCCATAGTTACATATACTATGTTATATAGCTAGATTGGTTTTTTCTTGATAGTAGTAATACTAGTATTTTCTTCAGATATATCATACTTTAGCTTCAAAGCTGGATATAGAGATGGAGAAGAAGGAGAAGCAAAGCGGGTTGGAAGAGGATATTTATACTGTTGCTACAGACTACACTGCACTTCCAGCACGGTGAAGAGAAGGAGTATTACTGTGAAGTATACAATATTGAAGAGAAATACTACCTATTCACAGAACCTATTCCCAGCAGGTTTGTTGGGGAATAGAGATACCAGTATCACTGAATGAAGAATGGAGGACTACTGCTAGTTCATCTATGCAGAATATTAAGCTTATCAGATCGTAGTTAATGGCATCGTCTTCGGTTGGTTGTTAGGCGGCTTGGAAGTTTATTTTAACTTGCTGTGGCGGGATGTTTGTTATAGATAGATAGTAGTATATAGTATGATGTATGTAGGTAGTTTGATGGAAGAGGGTTGTCTTCGAGGTCAGTTGATCGTTGGTGCCAAGTGGGTGGTGGTGATCTGGTGGATTCCGGTTACTTCTAACTTTAGATCGATAATAGGTTATATGTGTGCTCTGCAAAAAGGAATGAGGGGGGCGGAGTACACATGGAGAAAACGATACTTTTACCATCCAGTCGGTGCTCATTAGACTACCTACCGTCTTGGATGGACAGCCATTGAGACCTGCTTGCTTCCGTCCTACTTCTGAGGAAGTAGACTACGATAACTACCTATCCTCATCACATCTTATAACATACCTTACATAAGACACATATTACTACTACTGCTGCTGCTACTATACGTCTTCCATGGCAGGCCTTAATCCAGTCTCATTAACATACCCCAATGTAAACCAGGTCAATTCTTCCTTCCGACAAACAACAAATTCAGAAATAGCAACAAAAGGATAAAAAACACCGGGAAGTTCAACAATCACGTGCTGGACTAGACAATATGCCAATCGAAAGGAGTCATCGACGACATCACCAGATGACAGCACCAGAATAACGAGACATATTGGGATTTAAGGTTGAAAGTTGACCTGGTTATCCATGAATGACATGATCAAGCTTGCTGCAGATCCTGCATTGCTCTCTCGTGCAAATCAACCGGAATGTAACTGTACAAGGCACGCTCACCATCCTCATTCAAGCCTGCTAAAACAGCAAGCACCTGATAGAGGAAGAAGTCTTTCTGGTGAAGGATCGTTGACAAGCGTTGCGCACATGCTCTCACGAACATGGGAATTCCGCGTTGATAGTTGTACATGAAGAGCGGTTCTAACCAAATCCGTAGAGAGTATGACCCATCTATTTCAGTGGGAATATGTTAGTATATGTCCGTCTGACGAGACTGGAAGTGGAGGCAGATCCAAGTAACCGGACTTACTTACTCTGTTCAATGCAAAAAGACCTTCGCCATCTTATGTCAGTATACGCATATGAACTAGGTAGTATGCTGGGTGCTCACATCTGTGGTACGGACAACCTAGAAGTAGTGATGTCAGTTCATGTTGTCCAAGCCATCTAATAAACTGACATTTTCATCGAAAACATACCTTGCGTTCGTGGCCAGGAGTGGTGGAGGATTCCATTACCAGAAGAATTTGCCGGATTATCTTGAACAATCAGCTGCTTGTTCCCGATATATACATATCAAATCCACGTACCTCAGTTAGGCGGTTCTTGACAGTCTTGCGGACTTCAGGATAGACATCAGCGCTAATGCGAATGACGCCACCGCGGCGGGCAAGACGACTATATTCAGTGATGAGTTACTGGTGTTATTCATGGTACACATGCTGCTATCTTAGGAGACGCATGTTTGATTGAGTTTGCGTACCGGATCGAGGGGCGGGCTAGCCTTCGTTAGTGGGAGACTTGTGGTATTGTTTATTGATTACTTTGACTTACTGATTCCGTCTATGTTGTTGCGCAAAATCTTGCTGTAGCACGATCCATTGTTAGTATTTTCTACTGGAGTAGGGCAGCGTAACTCCGCAGAGAGATTCGTGAGGGGATACGATACCGAAATCGCTTCTTAGGGAGGAATCTTTTCCCTCTTCTGTCCGTTACTAGTCTCGGGTCCATGGTAACTAGATCTGTATCTACAGACAACTTGCAGAGGTGATCTGGGGGACCGGGAGACGTGATCTGGAGACGAGTTGTAGAGTAACAGGATGATGAGATTTGGAGTTTGGAGGGCTTGATATACTGCATCATGAACTGAGTGAATGCACCGTGCAGTTGCCATGCGTGTTAGTGCTCGGTGCATGGTGCATCAAGCAAACGGGGCCAAGGGGAATGTCATGGCAACAAGCGGGTCTGTGCAGTGAAGCATGAGGTTGAGGAAGACATGATTGAGTAACATTAGATATACCCTCTGGGAGGTTTATGAACAATTAGGGATGGATATTTGCGTAGCATAGCGTATAGGTAACGTCAACGGGAAAATATCAAACAACACTCAGAACGCCTTCGATGGGGTCCATAACCATGCCATATGCACCTGGATCGGTCTATGAGATGAACGTGGCCTCGGAGAACATGGTTCCCTCCTCGGTGACTTCGGAGTCGCCGACCTTGAGCTTCAGAGAGAGCTTCTCCTGAGGGCAATACTAGAGACTGAAGTTAGTATGCTGCACCAGTGACATACGATCCAAAGCACAAACCTGGAAGATGTATGGTCGCGTGCCGGCGACACTGCCAGCAATGGTCTTGATGAAGCCGGGCACTTCCGCCATCACGTCGATCCGGTCCAGTCGGTTGCCAAGAGCCCCGTCAAGCTCCGCATGGACTTCTTGTCCTTCCTTAGACTTGCCATCCCAGACCCACTTGATAGACTTGGGCTCGGGCCAGTCACTTTCAGCATCCTGCGATGAGTCGGTGTGAGTGGCGCTGTTGTTAATACCAGCATAAATGATCTCTCCATCCTTGACGATACCGCCGACGTTGACCGTTGTCGATCCGTACGACGGAGGGGTGGTGTATTCCATCATCATGGCAGAGTAGGTAGGGGTCTGGAAGTTGACAAAGTTCCACCGCGCAGCTATACAAATGTCAGAAACTTCGCTCTTCGAGGTGTCATGGCGAGAAGCTTACCCGCGTGGTGAGGCTTCATGCCCTGAAGAGCATGGATGAACATTCCCCGGCCCGTGAGGTCGTAGGTCTTCTCCTTGGTCGTGATGGTACCCTCAACGGCACATCGGGGCCAGAAGGCATGGCTCATCGAACCCCATGGGTTCTCGGGGTCCGTGCCAAAGTAGGACGTGCCGTCCTTGCCGATCATGAAACCAGGGGAAGAGCGCTTGAATGTCAGGTTCACCAGACTGTCTTCGTTCACAGCGGACTTGATGGTATAAGTATCGCCATCCTCGTTGAGTTGGACAGCGAGGTTGTCGGCACCAAAGGAGAGCATGCTTTCATCGAACATGAAGTTGGACAGGGGATCCGAGTGCCAGTTGTGGGGTCCATCGCCTTTGAGGTTGAAGATCTTCGATGTGAACTGAGCGGTGGTGTGGAGACCTCTGTGGGAGCACGAGCAGCATTAGAAGATGAGACGAGAGTGAGGCGATGTTGAATCATTGGTAAGTAAAGGTACAACTCACACGATGTTGCTGTAGATCAGCTGAACCATCGCCAAGGTACCATCATCGGCCATGATGTAGAAGACCTTGTTTTCGACATTGGTGTACTGGTAAGCGCGCCAGCGCAGGTCATTCTTGCTGAGCTCGGTATAAGGAGTCTCTTGGGCCTGGCGGGCGACAGATTGAATGGCTTCAGGCCCATAGATGGGCTCCTGCGTACCGGCAACGGAAGCGAGACTAGAGGCGGGGGATTTCAGTTAGCAAACAAAAAACATGTATATCAGCTGATTCAGCAGAGTGAAAAGAAGAGCAAGCATACGTTGACTTGAGCCAGTTCATTATGGGCGATATGTGAGGTGTCGGGAGGAATTACAACGAACAGAGGGAGGTTGTGAAAACAAGAGAATGGGAGATGTGAGGAAAGATGGAAATCAAATCGATAGCGCGCGGGGCCACAAGGGGGGTTCAGTCGATCGTTCTATAGTAGCTTCCGGTGGTCTGGACAAATGCTGGGACGAGCAGCTGGCGAGCGGGACAAGACGGGAAGAAGAGCCCAAAGTCACAAACAATCACAGTTGGTTTTCTGCCAACAGCAAAGGATCAATGGGGCATTAATCCAAATGAACTTCCGTGCAGCAGATGAGTGAGTTGGTGTGGCAGGTGAAGCGCTGACCGCCAACTGAGCGAGGAATCCGGATGACGTCCAGCACTCGAATTGCAGGCGGATTTCCTGTTTGGGCTTCGCTTGTGTCCCAAACGGAAAGTAACGCCGACCCCGCGGCGCCATCCCGAATCCAGAACCCCAAGAAAACTTGGCCGCAAAAGACGCTCGCCGACTGCCGCATTGATTGTTGTCAGTTGCTGTCCGGACATTCCCATACGCTCCCTCACTTCAACTCCAATTCGCCTTCACTTTGATCTTTATCAAACGTACCCTCGACCCTCATCATCATGGCGAAGAAGGCATTGGCCAAGGATCAGATTGTGAAGCTCATCGTGGGCGCCGGTCAGGCCAGTCCCAGTCCTCCCGTCGGTCCGGCCCTGGGTAGTAAGGGTGTGAAGAGTATGGATTTTTGTAAGGTAAGCTGAGGGCACACTCCATGGACGGTTCAATTGGATTTTCCCTCTGCAAGACGTCCAATGTGAGCTATCTGCACGAGAAGGACGCGCAGGGCTGATATGGTATACTGTAGGAATTCAACGCCAGAACTGCACACATCAACACCGGTGTCCCCATTCCTGCGCGTGTCACTGTCCGCCCCGATCGTTCCTTCACATTCGACCTCCGTACTCCCACCACCACCTATTTGCTGTTGCAAGCGGCCAATGTGGAACCTCGCAAGAATCGCATCCGTGGCGCCCAGAACCCGGGCCATGAATTCATCGGCAAGATCTCCCTCAAGCATGTCTACGAAATCGCCAAGATCAAGCACTCCGAGACGCGACTGTCTGGATTGAGCCTACAGGGTTTGTGTAAGAGTGTCATTGCCCAGGCCAAGTCCGTTGGCATCCAGGTTGTACCATGAGGTTATTGCGGAGCGGGCGATTGGTGATGTCGTTGTACACTATCTTGTGCCCTTACTCCCGTAAGGTTACTCCTCTTCTTGTCTTGGGCTTACGAAATTGGCGTTATGTGGAACTGGGTTTGTTACCATCTGTATCATAGGCATTGCATGTTGTATAGAAAGCGTTGGCTGGTGCCTCAAGCGATCACATGAAGTGGATTTGACTGTCTGACCATGAAGGGCTCGGCTCTTGGGTATAACGGTGGGCGTAGGTTGCTGATGATGCATTCCTGACCAGGGCCTGTGTGCGGGCTGGTTATCACGATACCTATACGAAGTAGTAAGAAGTCGGGTGGAAGCCCGCGAGTCAGTAATAGCGATATACACGCCTTTCTTCTTCACCTACCAATCCATGCCGTACCGTTGCCAGGGGGCTTTTCGATCACTCCCAATACTCATCAGCGGGTTAGAAAGTGTTAGAAAAGGGATACTAGACAGTCTGTTGCTAAAGAGTCAATATTGACGCTGGTCCCTCGCCAAGTTGGAGATCGGAGCGAAGGGGAAAAGTCGAGCGAGACACAACAGCGTGCCCAGAAATACCGCCGAGAAAGCCAAGAGGCGGAGGACACGCAAGTTTCCTCCTAACGTCTTGGATACGCGGCCAGGTGAGAGGTCGGGGGAGGAATCGTCGTACGGTCCTGTAATGACAAGCCCCTTTCTTCCACTATTTTGCTTGGCAGGCCTGAAAGCTGTTTCTCCGCTCGAATCCTCAGCAGTGCTCTTCTTGGCCTCACAACACAGTAATTTAGTCGACGGACGGCAGAGGTTGACAGTAGCAGCAAGCCAGGAAGCAGGTAAGTAATGGCCTGAGATGATGATTCCATAATCTGCAGATGTGATGTGATGGGGCTACCCCACATTCTATACGTGCTTCTGGAAGTGTACCAGAACATCCTTGACAAGGGGCAGGTGGCGACTATCTTGAAAAAGTAAGTAGCTGGCCAGATTGGGAAATGGCGATATACACTCCTGGCTGAAACTAGCGCTCATCAGAAAATAAATTAGTTGGGAGCCTTCAGCAGCCTGATTATACTTGTAGTGGATAGCCAGCCTTTTACTTGGATTCATGATAGTGCTTGTGAGGCGGCTGTTTCTTCATTGTTGACTCTTTATACCCCAGCCGCACTACACTACTATAAGTAGTAGAGAGACCCAGCCGTCATTATTCATTATTATCTCCATCGAAACGGAAACTTTCCAGATCGGGCTGGGTTTACCGTCCACTGGATACCCAAAGCGGAATGAGACGCCCCACAGGAGCACTAACCCCAAAACAGCATGGTGACGCTATCCGAACCAGGGCGCGGGTTACCTACCTGAACAGACAGATGAGGTGCTAGTTATCAAATAGTAAGGTTATAGTCCAGTAGGAATTGGGTTAAATCGGCGAGAACATTGAGCGGATAATTTCACGCGTCTCCGATCCCGAAGGCTCCGATGATTGACAGGAGGTGTGTGAGAGAGTGTCCATGGACAAGGGCAGGCAGCTGACGGACGGACAGATGATCAAAGGGTGGCCGATTCATCAGCTGAGTGGACCGTGGGTTCGCCCTCACTCCAATCTGCATGCATTAAACCCACGCCAGATGAGATCCAGAAGAATCTAGCGGGGTAAGCGACCAGCCCATCCATGCCTGTGGGCTGTGCGGATCGGGGAATCTGGAGGGTCGTCGTCCAATACTGTTCGCGGATGACAAACTGCCCGGCTAGACGGCACCGGCAGCTGCTGTTCCTCCTCTTCTCGGTGCCAACTGACCTCCGGAGCAGATAGGATAGATGGATAGATAGATAGTGGAATGAATGAATGGATGAATGGATGGATGATGGCAAAAGCCCGTATGCAAGCCATATAACTAACCAATTACTGAATCACTAATCATCGGCTTATGACGGGCGGCCGTTCGGACAACTGGCATAGATGTTACCGGTATTTACATGCCTGCCTGCCTGCCTTACCCGTAACGGCCGTGCCTTTGATGTCATGGCAGCCGTTCTCCGGGTCTCCTTGTTTGTTCTCCATTTGTAGATGGTAGACCACGTCTGGGGGTAAATGACTCCTACTTATGTACGCTACTCCGTTATGATTCATGATCCACACCCATCCCACATCCTCGGTTAGACAGATGCTTGCTTCAACTTCACTGTAACAGGTGGGTAATTCCCGCACCATTACAGTCACCAGCTGCCTTTTTTCCAAATCTTTTGTTTCCCCTCCTCTCCGCGGATTTCCGATCGAGAGAGCAGTCAAGACCCAATCTTTGGAGCACGGGGGGAACGCTTCGCTCCGACCGACCGCCAAGTAAACACGGTACAGACTGCATGTAACTTTGTGTGGGATACATTCGTTCCTTTAGGTTGGGATTTGCAATAATGATGATGATGATGATGATGATGATGATGATGCTTCATCTTTTTGTCCAGCCCATCTGTATTTCTATTTTAGGCCGGGTGACCAGCTGGGTAATCTAGACCCGGGCATCCATCCCTTCCTGGGAGAAAACGGGCGTGTGGAGGAGGCTTCTAGAACGGGGGCTAGAGGAATCAATGATAACGAATAGATATATAACAACTCACCTAACTTCGTTTCAAATGCAAACACTCAACGAGGTGCAAGTATTTGAGTTGGCGGAAAGTTCAGTAAAAGTGGTGGTGGTGGTGACAGTAATAATTAAGAAAGAATAATTAATCCACCGCCCCAAAAGAGAATTGAGAATTGTATTTTTCTCCCCGTCCATCCCGCCGCTATTGCCGCCGCCGTCGATTTGGCTGGTGGCTCCCAAAATCCATCCCCCCCCCCAAAGACCGCCGCCGCACCTGCTTTGCTTTTTTGCTTTTTGACTTTCTTGTTCAGTTCGAGTTCCTCCAAGTCTTCCCTGCCCCGGTGGAACCTCTCCGGTCTGCCTTCTCCCCTCTACTTGTGTACTAGTCAGTAACTAGACTAGAACGAACTGCCTGACTAGTCTAGCTCCTGCTCTTGCTCCTCCTCCGTCCCTCACTACTAACTGATCTCCCTCCCTCAACTCAACTCTTTCTCTCCATCCTCGTCGTCGCTCCTCCTCGTTTCTTCACGACTGTCGGTATCTCTCTCCCCTCCTCTTGACTCACCAACGCAGCCGTTCTTGGATGGGGCGAATCTCTCCCCGCCCCTCAGCATCCTCCCGCCCGTCCAAGTTCCTGCCCTGCGTCGACGTGAGTTCAACCACTACTTATCTCCCTCCCGCACCCCGTTTCTCGACGAAAGATTTGTTCCGTCTCGCATACCGAAACCTCCGTGCCTCTCCCACTCTTTGTCCCACGAACTGGTCTTAATCGTCTCCTCCTCCCAAGCGACGTCCCGCTATTATATAGAGTATTGCCGTTCTCCTTATTACTCTGCAGCCGTTGTTTCCCCATTACTGTTGAGTTCATTTTCCCGGTATCTTCCGTGGAGGGGCATGTGTCCCACCCTGTGGTCTTGACCAAGTATGACGTCTGAAGCGACGGATTTTGCCCAAGCCAACGCCAACATGAACTCCGGTAAGCACCACCCTTCCACAACAACCAATTCAGACTCTTCCCTCTGACTCGGCAATCTCTCAACTTTTAGCTGCTGAAACTGCCCAATCTCCTGCCCAGATGACCCCTGGACAGGCGACCGAATTTGCCGACAATGACTATAAGTTCAAGTCGCAACCCAGCCAGGTCCGGTTCTCGACCATAACGGAGGAAATCGAACCTTCGGATTCCTCGGTTCCTCCCCAAGTACCACCGGCCGATGACACGATGAAGGATCAGAAGCAAGAGGAGGAACTGCGGTCCCTGGCTGCCAGCCTACAAAAATCACAGTTGCAGGAGACGCGGTTGCGACAGTTCTCATATGACCCGATTTCTCTTCCATCTTCTAGGGTATGTACCCCATCTGTTTACTCACAATGGCCCTCTACGCTATCCAGCATCGACGGTGGCGTGGAAGATCATGCCGCCTCCTCCGGGACAGTCGGCTCCTCGCATGGCCCTGCATGATCTTCCAGATCTCCCAGATCTGAACAGAAACTGACTGCTGCATCCCCCTTACAGGTTGCGTCGCGAGAGTCAAGCGACCGCAGTGGTCGCGAAGCCAATGGATCAGGCCTGCCCTCTCCCCGAGACTCCCCGACGGTGTCCGCTATGCAGTCACCCCCGCTTACACCAGCCGCTACTCACTCACGTGAAGCCAAGTCTACTGATACCTCGTCAACATCGAACACTACGGACAAAGGAGCCCCGGGGCAGTCCGCGGCCATGACCCCCACTACTTCCCCACCGACAAGCGCGACCCTAAAGAACAAAGCCTCCCAAAGTGCCCCCTCCTCACGACCCTCCTCAACCGACCAACTGTCGAAACAGAATAACGTCGCGCAAACATCGTCCCATCCGCTAAATTCCCCGAAACATAGAGCGCAGTTCTTCGTTGGCCCTGCGGCTGATGGAGGTGCACAAGATGAAAGCCCTCCGATGACTCCGAGGGTTGAAAGCTATACCCCTCCTGGTGCAATTACACCCGTCGGAGAGCCCAATGATCCATATGCTCGCAGCAAACGGCCCCCACCGCCAAAGAACCTCGCGCAACTGGACCAACGCTTTATCTTCAATGGCAGAGATGCGAAACGTCGCACAAACACCTCCTCGTCTTTCACCCGCCCTATGTCTCCTCGGTCCGCCAGTGCAAGTGATCTCAGGTCCACCGAAAAGCGCAGCGGCTTTTTCGGCAGCAAAAAGGAAGTCAAGCAGCAGGAACCGGAAAGCAAGCCCCACGGCCACATGTCCGAGCTTAAGCGCTTCTTCAAACGGAACCACCACAAGCACAAGCGTGCTGATTCTCCCTCATCCATACCCTTCAAAAAGTCGAGCCGGTCTTCGGGAAAGAATGGTCCTTTCCACACATCGGATAGTGTTCCGTTCGCTGATGATCATGGGCTCAACTCAAAGTACGGGAAGCTAGGCAAGGTTTTGGGTTCAGGAGCAGGTGGATCCGTTAGGTTGCTCAAGCGTAACAGCGACGGCGTGACCTTCGCTGTCAAGCAGTTTCGTGACCGCCATTCTTGGGAGAGCATGAAGGAGTATTCGAAGAAGGTGACCGCGGAGTTTTGCATCGGCTCGACTCTTCATCACGGCAATATCATCGAGAC